CCCGCGGCAGCAGAGGTGGCGCCAGCCCGCCCGCCGCTGCCATCCTGACAACCAACCGACGCCGCGTCCTTCGCGACGGAAACCCAGGAGGGGGCGGGGCAGGGCGCACCGCGGACAGCCAATAGGAGGCGCCGGCGGCCCCTCCCCCGCTCCCAGCTGCCCGCGCGGCCGAGCCGCCCCGCCTCTCCGGGGGCCAGCGTGGCGCCCCGAGACGACGGCCGGCCGGGCCCGTCCGAGTCTGGCGGGGTTCTGCCTTCTTTTTTACGAGGGCCGTTTCGAGAGAGTGTTGAGAGGGAGCAAAGAGGGTGAGACGGAAAATCCCCAGCCACGGGAAGATGCCGCTGTGGGATTCGGAAATATTTATTTTGGAGGGATAATTTGGGGTGGGATTTCGTATGGAATCACTTGGGGTTTGGGCTGTGAGATTTGGGGTGTCACTAGCTGCAGATACCATCTCTTAGAAAGCCCTGCGAAGTGGAACTTTTCCTTCCCGCCGTGTCACACCAATCCAAAATGCTTGTGCCGTCCCTCTCCTTTGCCCTACTTAGCAAGGCTACAAGGCTGCGTTTCAAACGCTCCAGATGCTGCTTGCTTGGTGCCAGATTCTGGAAATGGACCATCACAGCGCCGCGGCCTGAAAACAGGTCCAGATTTATCCCAGTAATCTCCTGGGAAGTTATGCCAGAACAGATCATCTCTTTGAAATTGTTTCAGGAGGCATGGAAGTGTAAATGGAGTTTTGAGCCACTCGTTTAATGACGAAAGTGAAAATCTGGGAAAAGGTTGAGACTTCTTGGACCTGAGTCTAAAATTACATGTAAATTTCGACTGCAATCTAGCCAGTTTTTGTTTTTTACTTTTGAAAAAACTCCCAGATTGGAAGCAAAATTGTACAAACCAAAAAAGATCTCTCACTCATTGTTCGAATGTCTCTGGTTTTGTAAATCAGTTTCTTCACTTTTAGACTTTAAATGATTAACTTCTGATGTGATTGATAACAGAGCTTTTGTAAACTTGGATGCAATCATTCAAATTTGAATGTGTTCTGGGGACTAAGATTTTTAAGTGCCACAACAAATCCGGTTTTGCACTAAGTGCTTAAGTCTCATTCAAAATTATGTATTGATGAGGATAAAACATATAATCCTAACAGAAGGGCTAGGTGTGTACACCTGCACAGGTAGCTTTCTTGGCAAGTTTTTAACTGGCCTAGCTACAGGAATTGGCCTCGATTTTATCTCTGCTGCTATCATTGCAACTTTCTCCAGGCAAGATTTGACAGCAAGTAGGGCAGGGAAAAGTGCAAACAAGCCTTTCCTGAAAGTTTAGCTTTTTCTCTTATTAGTTTGGTGACTTGGGATTCTTAGCCACATTAAATGCTTTGTTGCATGGTATGTTACTTACCATTAAGAGGCTTGTTTTGTTACTCAGTTACTTACAAAGGCTTGGACATTCATTTAAGTGTTTATGATAATGACTAAGAAGAGAGTAAATCCTACACTTCAGATTGCCAAATTTTAAGATCATAGTTTAAAATTTTTTTAAAAAATTAGTCTTTAAAGTATTAAGCAGGGCTGGGGAGATGGCTCAGTAGAATAAGCACTTCCCTGGCAATCGCAAGGGCCTGAGTTCAATCCCTGGTTCTGCCAAAAATAGATAAATAGATAAATAAAACACATAAATAAGTAAAATATTAAGCAGACTTTGTCACATTCTATTTAAATTGTATAATCCTAAATTCTACTATACTAAGGCTTCCTGGTTATTTTGATGATAGAAAAAAATTTGAGGATTTTATAAACTTTATGACTGAAAGAAAAAGCACGTATTAAAGCAATAGAAAACAAGTAAAATCTCTATTTTCAGAAGTAACATCTGAATTAAATATAAAACTTGTTTTGTTATCATATTGGGGGTTAACACCAGAGTCTGGAGGAGCGTGCTACACAAGCGCTCTCCTACAGAGCCACCTTCCACAGTCTAGTGCTTGGTTCTTCCATACTTTATGACACTTTATTGGATGCCAAGAACTTTGTAGATACTGGTATACAGTAAGGAAGAAGACTTCAAAGCCTTATGGTCAGGAAACATATTTATTTCTCTTTGCTGATAGGATATATTAGGTAGTGAAAAGTGTCACAAGGAAAAACTGGAGTGGTGTGGGGGATGGAGACTGATGCCAGTTCTGTTTTACATAAGCTCGTGCTCAGGAAAGGGCCCCTCGGAAGGGCAATTTAGGTCAGAGGTCTGAGTGAGAGAAGAGAGGCTGGCGTTTACATATCTACATGAAGACCCTCACGGGGATTCAGAGCTGTAAGGACAAAGGCTCGGAGGACAGAATCACGTTGGCCTAGTGACACCAAGACCACTGTATCTATGCAAGGACTAGGCAGGAAAAGTGTATTAGTATCTGAGGCTCGAGAAGTATGTGGCCCAGACTCAGTGGTCCTTATAAGATATGCAAGGATTTAATACATGATTCAACTTCCAATGGAAGGAAGATATTTGCAGGGTTTTGAGTTGAGATGTTTTCATTTCATGGGGAAGAAGACTAGAGGAATGGGAGAAGAGAAGCGAATTAGAGTTCAGACGTGTTAAACACGACCCTGCTACTTGACACTCCAGTTCATTAACTGGCCTTACAGATTGCTAGTGATATTTTATTTACGAAAGATGATAATCACTTTGTAGTTACAGAGCATGCTCATCTAACTGAATTTGCATATTGTACTAATAAAAACTTTAGACAAGTTAATTAAAAGTTTATTGGAGTGCAGAGCAATTCATCATTAAATCAGACAGCTTTAACAGCCAGAAATACACACATCATGATCCCTCTCCAGTAGCATGAGCTGTAAGAGTTACAGGCTCAGAACAGAAGCAAAGCAGGTACATAGCCCGACTTGCTCCAGCTGGGTATGCTTTGCTTGGAGTGGTGTAGTCAGTTGGCTGCCTGTGATTGGCTTTCATGAAAGACTGAAACTATTTGTTTTTGTTTTTGTTTTTGTTTTTTTTTGCTCCGAATGCCTTCAAGGCATGACTGGCTGCCTTGAGTTGTGGGGATCGAACCACAGCAACCTGAACCTGACTGCTTTGTTGAAGCAGCCACTTAAAGAACTGAGCTAAGGGGCAGGCCCCCTATTTGTTACAAAAATATACTCATAGGTTGTGGCTTTCTCTCCCTCCCTCTCTTCCTTCCTCCTTTCCTTTCCTTCTTTTTGTATTCTCTCTCAGAATATGACACTGCTTCACCAATGGCCTCCTGCTGATTTATTTTTTTTTAACAGCTTTCACAGCCTTGCAGGTCATGCAGCAGCCTGTGATGAATAATTGTTTGTATTTTCATTTTTATCTTGGCTGAAGCTATTGTTTTGTTATCTTCTGAAGAAGTATTTTTTCCCCCTCAAGAATTTTCCAGAAAGCTTGAAAGAACAAAGAATTTTAATATCTGGCTGATTTAAAGTGCTAAGGTGTTATCATCTTCATTTCAATCTCAAACAATTTTAACTAGAACTTTAAAATTGAACATATGTACTCTTTGATTTCTAATACAAAGATCATCAATATTGTCAGAGGGTTAGAACTGAAAGCAAGTGAAGCAATAATAATAGTGATTGACACCTCATAACATTTGTTAGTGCTTCTATATGTCAAATTATTTAGTCTGTGCAACAGTCCTCTTTCTAAAAAGGAGGCAGTTGAGCTGTCACAATAGTATCAATGTCTTAGTTACTTTTCTCATTGTGAGACAAAGTGTGTAACACTCAAAGTTAAAGGATGGAAAGTTTATTACGTAGCTCACAGTTTGCAGAGGCCTCAGTCGGCAGCGGGCTGGCTCCAAGGCAGAGTGGCCTGGCTGAGGGGCACTGTGGAGGAGGAGCAGTCCATGGTGGGCAGGACGCAGCAAAGCAGCAAAGCAGTGAAGCAGCAGCGAGTGACCACAGCAGCCCGCTTTCTGTCCCTTCTATTCTATCCAGGATACATGCCCTCAGGGCGGTGGCACGTCTGTCTGGGATGAGCCTCCCCATTCTCTACACCCAGAACTGTGCCATGCCAATCAGTGGACTAATTTAGTAATCACATATCTTTGAGCCCAGCACCACACACTTCATTCCACTCTAGATCCAGCCACCTCTGAAAACCTCCACCTATGACCACATGAGGCTTTCGTGGAGACATCTGGACACAAGCCATAGCAGGTGACTTTCCCCCAAGGACCCAACGTATAAAAGAGTGGTGAAAGAAAGATGCGGACACGTCTGTGTGGCTAACTGCTTCATCCTGCCTCACGGGAGAAAGTCTGCAAAAGTAGTTTTAATAGCTAAAGGATGACAGTGTTTGTGATTAAGTAACAGAGAGAAGATAAAGTCAGAAAAGATAGATTCATTTAAGATATTTCTTAAGTACATATTTGTGTCTTTTGTGTGTCAGTCACTGTGTTACTACCATAAAAACTACGGTCTTTGCCTTGCAATTAGCAGGCTAGGAAAGGAGATGGCGAACAATACTTTGAATCAGAAGCAAGATTCAAGAAAGTTTTATTTTGCCCTTTAATTTGACAATAACATAGTATGAGGCACGTTTCTAGCATGAAGAGGAGGAGCCACTGTAAAGGAAAATTTGAAGGTTCATCACAGGCATTGGTGCATCTACCTTCAGATAATGGTCATTTTCAGTAATGTTTTCATTATGTTTAGAATTTGAGAAATCTGACCCTTCTGTGATATAGCAAGGTCTTTTTTTTTTTTTTTTTCAGAACTGGGGATTGAACTCATGCCCTTGCACTTGCCATGCAAGTGCTTATTCTACTGAGTCATCTCCCCAGCCCCCCTTTTGTGGTATGATCATTAATAATAGTAAAGGCATATAAAGTTACATTTTGAGTCTGAATTATCTGTTCTGGATGTTACATTGAAAACATTTCTACTTCACACTTGAAGGTAGTTTCAATGTAATGTTCTCCCCACTCCACTCTTAGTTCTTCCTCCTTACCATTGTGCAAATCATTTCATGATTACTATAGTATACCTTTCCAAAGGCATTTTTCTGAAATTAAAAAATTTGACCCATAAAAAGAAGATGAATTTATAGCTATGCTTTGCCTATGTATTGCCCATCTAGCAAAAGTATAGATTAATGATGTTGGCATGATGTGATAAAAGGAATTGTATGACTGAAAATGCCAGGCTTTCTGGAAGCTACCTTGTTTTTCACATGAAGGGTGTTGTTTCAAAGCAGAGCCTGGAAACTATTAAGTATTGGCTTCTGTTTTTGTTGTAAGCCTTCCAGATAATTTTAACTGAAGACTCTATGCTCTGTAGTTTTTTCCACAGAGAGCTGACTGATATTTGAAGAAGTATTCTCTTTTATTGAAGAAAAATATGATGTATTCATCCCAAGTCTCTGTCTTGCTGTTAAATATATGCATATTTATTTGTGGAGAAGCTGTACAAGGTAATTGTGTACGTCATTCTACGGTAAGAATTTTAGTAATTTATTTTTGCTAGTAGAGCTTGATTGACTTTCAGTATATGTATTAGAAGTCTGAAAATACTAATTACACACTATCATGTATATTTGCAATCATTCAAATATTTATTTTGAAATGTTGAGGTGACTTAGATGTTACTATTTATAAACTTAAACTATAAGCAGGGTTGTCCTAAAAATGTCATAATCATTTTTTTTTAAAGAAATTTCAAGCTTAGGTTAAAAACTAGCTCAAGATCCTTAGAAGAGGAAAGACTGAGCATATATTACATACGTAGATTTGCAGAAGTTGAAGTTGAAGCCCAGGCCACAGAGTCATCGTAATGAAAATAAACCCTACATATAGTAGTATTAATGTGCAAATCACTTTGTTTTTGTAAAACAGGTTTTTCTATGAAGTTTCATATTTCAGGTATAGTCTTGTGAATGGTCACCTACAAAATCCGAAGCAGTGTTAGAGTGATAGCTAGCAAGATGCATGTGATGCTATGAGGAGCTGGGGATTTGAAGCCCCTCATATTTTAATGGTTTATACTTTTTAAGTGTCACAAAAGGTTTTTACCATTGTATCCAAGCCAAATTCCAATGTACCATGGTTGAAACAAGAGTAGATTCTAAAAAGACTCAGCAATATTAATGATTCAGGGGCCGGGATATAGCTCAGTGGCATAAGTGCCTGCC